ACAGGTTGGTGGAAAGGATAACCGCGGAGGTGCTGAAAGGTGTAGAAGCCTCGTTTGAAAAGAAGATTGATCCCGTTTTGCAAAGACTGGAAACATTTGCATCTAATATAGCCACGTTGGATGCAAAAATGAAAGAGGCCGAGGGGCGTATATCAACCCGGGAGGATGCTATGGCTATCCACCATGCTAAACTCTCTGAAGTTGAGCTCAAGCTAGAGCATTTGAGCATTTGGAGAATAGGAGCCGACGGTGCAATATACGTATTATTGGGCTCCCCGAAGGCAGCGAAAGTACCAACCCAGTGTCATTTTTTAGGACTTGGTAACCGCTGTTAGTGGGCGTGAGTTTCAATGGTGACACCGTTGAAATCGACCGCTGTCAGCGCACGCTCGCTCGCCCTCCTCCCCCGGGGCAACGACCCCGCGCAGTCGTCATAAAGCTACATTATTTTCAGGATAAAGTTTGGATCATGCAAGCAGCCAGGAGGATGCAGTCTTTAATCTACAACGGCACCCCCATTATGATATTCGAGGATTTCTCCGCTGCGGTCGTAAAGAAGCGGCAGGGATTCTACCACGTGAAACAACGTCTGAGAGAGATGGGGATTTAATTTGCCATGATGTACCCGGCCGTCCTCAGGATTAAGCACAACGGCGAGGAGAGATCTTTTAAAGCACCGGGAGCTGTTGCAGCCTACTTGGATAAATCGTCGCAAAATGCAGGATCTCCCTCAGTAGCAGCAGTTGACTGATGGATTCTCGCTATGTTGCTTGAATGGGTCTCAGCAATCCTGTTTTTGGTTCACAATGTAAGATGATTGACAAAGACTGCTGAGTAGTTATTATTATTGACATTTGCCTAATTTTCTATTGCTGAGACGCTTACTTTATTTTATAGGCCCATTATATAGAATGCTACTTTGATAAAGCTGCAGGTTGGCAGCTATTTCCATGTAGGCCATAGGCTGAAGCTCAAAATGTGGCTAGAAATAGGATTTCGCTCCACTATCCTGGGGACTACTTTTCGATAGCAGTTTTCCAATCTTGAATATGTACTCGAGCTGGGAAAAAAAGTTCTCCAAGGGCTTTCTTGCCAGTATTTGAGAAAATGGGTGCCAAAGGTGGCAGTTTACCCAAAAAAGTGACGATTTTGTGTCTTCTACCATTTCCAAACCCTTGTAACTTTTTTATTATTAAGGCGATCGGACTCAAAATTTTTATTCCCACAGACATTCATACTTACTCTGAGCTTCTAAAGCGGCAATGTTCTGCGTGCTTTAAGTAAGGAGTTATTCGAAATGAAAATATACACTTTTTAACAATTTCACAATCTCCCAAAATATATCATTATTGCACATGAAAACTGCAATTCTTTGAATTTTCAATTGAAAAACTCTAATAGAAAGATATCCCTTTGTGTCTGGTTAACTAATAACTATGAAAAGTGGTGTGAATTTTATCACCTAGCAGACCAGTTACAATATTGGACGCAAAATTTTAGGAAATAACTGAAACAATGAAAACTAGAAGAATCTTCAAGTTCACTGTTTATTTAATGGACCTGATACCAACTTAAGCAATCATGGTATTAATGAACAAATAATAACAAAAAGTATTGTAACAACCCCCCCACCACCACCACCACTCCATCCCCACACCAACAAGAGTTACTACTTCTGTTTGTTGCAACATTTATGAATATTTACAGAGAGAATTAATCATCTTCAGAAAAACTGAGAGAGAATAAGAAGCCTACATATAATTTTTCAATTACTTTTGAACAATTCTACCAAGCACTAAGCATGCCCAAGTTGATATCTCCCAAATGTTATACATGTACATATATAATTATAAATACTGATTCTAACCATTTATAAATCTCCACTGCACTCCATTGCAATAGCAATGATAACATGATTTTGAAAACGGGTAAAGTTTTCAGAGGCCTCATAACAATAACAAGAATAATAATCATAATTATTGATTATTTATAAAAACATTGGAAAGTATTAATATCACAACATTAAACAAATTAACTCTTTTTTTTCACATTTACTACAAACTTTAGTTAACTATGGACAGAAATTAATAACATGTTTAAATCTTTTTATAAGCAGTTATATGCCTCTCAGTTTAAATCCTTACACATACAGGATATGCAAAACTTTTTTTCAAGACTAAACCTACCTAAAATTACGGAAACCCAGAGGGATGATCTATGCAGGCCTATAACACAGAGTGAAATTTTGAAAACAATTCAACTACTTCCAAACAACAAAGCTCCCGGTCCCGATGGGTTTAGCGGGGAATTTTATAAAAGACTTAGTAAAATTATAATCTCGCCACTATCTGAAATGTTTCAATTCTCGTACGTTGTTGGTGCTCTCCCTCCATCCTTAATGGAGGCTAATATCTCATTAGTTTTGAAAAAAGGGAAACACCCGGAAAACTCTTACAGGCCTATATCGGTTTTAAACCTTGACCTGACAATACTATCTAAGATCCTGGCCATACGTTTAAAGAGTATGCTGCCCTCTGTTGTTAAGAATGACCAAACCGGGTTCATACAGGGACGATATTCTACACACAATGTTAGGCGTCTGCTTAACATAATCCAGCATTCATCCCAGTTTGGTCCGGAGGCTTTACTTATTTCTCTTGATGCTGAGAAAGCCTTCGACTGCTTAGAATGGCCATATCTCTTGTTTACACTTCAACAATTTGATTTAGGTGATGGCTTTGTGAAATGGATACAGATTTGATACATGTCTCCTCTTTCAGCTGTTATTACTAATGGTTTCAGATCAGAGAATTTCAGTATTGGTCGTGGTAGTCAGCAGGGATGTCCGTTGAGTCCTCTGTTATTTGCTCTGGCTATGGAGCCCCTTGCAGCAGCAATTAGACAAGATGCAAGTATCGAAGGACTCTTTTTAAATAATTATCAGCATAAAATTTCACTCTGCGCTGATGATGTATTGATTTTTCTAAACTCTCCATCAAACTCGATTCCTAAAATGATTCAACTGATTTTACATTATGGCTCTTTCTCTAGCTATAAGATACATTTTTCTAAAAGCGAGGCTATGCCTATTTCTGGTATACATGGGGTTGACCCAAATATTTCTCAGCCTTTTCGATGGTCCCCGCCAGGTTTCACTTATTTAGGAATAAAAATCTCACCGCACCTAAAAGATTTATTCAATCTGAACTATACTCCTTTAGTGCAATCAATCAATCGAGATTTAGAAAGGTGGTGCAGCCTCCCTCTATCTCTTCTGGGTCGTATACACTTAGTTAAAATGAACATTCTACCTCGCCTTCTGTACCTATTTCAGATGTTTCCTCTTGTTTTGACTCCTGCATTTCTTATTCATTCATATAGCTCCCTCTAGTGGCCATAAAAACCACAACATCCATCCATCCCTTTTAGTAACTGCTTATTCCCTAATGGGGATCGCGGGGGGGAACTGGAGCCTAACCCAGTAGCCAATGGGGAGAGGCGAGGTCACCCTGGACGCTCCCCAGTCCATCACAGGGTTACACAGAGACACACAAGGACCAACAACCACACACACTCACACTCACTTGTAAGAGCAATTTGGAATGAACTAGAACATTCCTCCCATATATAGTTAACTAAAGCTAAATTAAACTGGTGTCACTCACTTTCATACACCTTTGCTCATTCCAGTTCATTCCAGTCCAGTTTTTTTAGGGCTGCAACGAAGACTTCATTAAACAAGTCTGTCAGGGTTAGGGTTAGACCGGCTGGAGGATCTATCAGTTTTTGGGATCGTCCAACAATGAGGAATCAAAGCAGTCCAATCCTTAAGAGGGCAGCAGGGTGGTGTGGCGGTTAGCACCATCACCTCACAGCCTGTGAGGAGTTTGCATGTTCTCCCTGTCCCCACGTGGGTTCACCCCCCCCCCCCTCCAAAAAACATGCATGTCAGGTTTATTGCCCCTAGGTGTGAATGTCAGTGTGTGGTTGTTTGTTTCCATTTCCCTGCAATGGACTGATGGACTGTCCACAGTGTACACTGGCTAGTTGATAGTCAAAGTCCCTTCCAAGTCATTATCTGTCTCAATACAGCAGTTCTCTGACATTTTGGTGTCCTGTAGATTCTGAAATATCGTCTACAAGGAAACCACAATATTGTACATGATGAAAACCTCTTGCGTGGATTGCTCATATGGCTGAGAACAATTACCTGTCGGCTCTTTCTTGATGTTCTTAGCTTATAGTTAGAGCTTATAGTTAGGGTAAGTCCACCCCTGGTTGTGCTGCTATAGGCCTAGACTGCCGGGGGATGCATCATGATGCACCGAGCTGCCCTCTCCTTTCTCTCTCTCCCTCCCGGTGCAACCTCATTCCATTAACAATGTTACTAACTGGACTCTCTCCTTCCCCGTAGTCGTGTGCTTTCTCGTCCCCCTTCTCTCTCCTCTCTCTTCCTAACACTTTCTGCAGATATTCCTGGCTCTGGAGCTGTGGGGTCTGGATCTGTGGTTGGGAGTCTCCTCCTATCACTTCCTGCAGGTGTTCCTAGAGCTGTGGGGTCTGGATCTGTGGTTGGGAGTTTCCTGCTGCCCCCGTGTTCCTGCTCATCATTAGCATTAATATCATTGCCATTTTTAATCTATTCTACGTGTTGCTGTGTTGGCTGCCTCTCTCTGCTCCCTCTCTCCTTCTCTCGCCCTCTCTCTCTCTCTTGCTCTCTCTTTTCCCTCACCCCCAACCGGCCGAGGCAGATGGCCGCCCACCCTGAGCCATGGTTCTGCTCAAGGTTTCTGCCTGTTAAAGGAAGTTTTTCCTTGCCTGTGTCACCTAGTGCTGCTCACGGTGGGAATTGTTGGGTTTCTGTAAATAACTTCAGAGTAGGTCTGACCTGCTCTGTTTGGAAAGCTGAGAGACAACTGTTGTTGTGATGTGGCGCTATAGAAATAAAATCGAATGTTCTGCAAACCACAATCTCAGAGTTTGCATCTCGATCAGTCATCTTTTGTATGCGGTTTATTGTTGTGGCCTTAAAGAAATGCATACAGTTGATGAATAGATCAGATGCAGAGAGCTGGCTGAGCAGCATCATACTCTGCTTCCCTTCTATTGGAGTTCATTCTGTAGCCCTCCCAGACTTCTAATTTGCCTCAGATCCGTCATGCACACAGAATATTACAATGGAGGATTTTTGGTTTTCATGCCACACTGGAGATACATTAACACTTAAAGGAAATGTCCCAAGGGATGTTAATAACCAAGAAAAACTAAAAAGTAAACCGGCTGTCTGAACAAAAGTATATTTAATCAAAACAGAGATGGTGATAGCAAAAACAGACGCATGGAACATCGGTATGGCAGTTCAGGCAAAAACATTGTGGCTAAAGCTGAAGAGAGGAAATGTTCCACATGTAAACTTCTGCGTGTGCCATCAGAAGCTTTGTTTCCCAGGGTGAGTCCTGGTGCTCACAGCTCTGACTTCAGGAGCTTCTTTGCCTTCTGCATGTTGCTTTTCACTGAGGGAGAGACAGGAATTTATTTGTTTCTGCTGCCAAACACACAAAGCTGACATGCATCACCCCATCAGTACTTACAAAGGGTGATGTCGCTAGGTTCATAAGCGTACAAGCGATTGGCATAGCGACCATTGATATCAGCTCTCACTGTCATTGAGGGGTCTGCAGAGAGATGGGTTGAGTGTGAGTGAAGCAGATGTGCCCATAAATAACCTCAGATCTTTCAATTCCCTTCAGCCATGTGTTAAGGAACAAAGGTTTCTTCGTAAAGGAACAACAAAGAAGTATCCAGTTGAATAAACATAACAGGCAGAGAAACCCCACAAGCCACTTCACTAGGAACCCGTTTTCCTCCTTTTTACAGGCTAACATGAGCATTCTATAGGCAAAATAATAAAAAAAAAAAAAAAAAGACAAAAAAAAAAATTTTAAAGAAAAAAAAAAAAAAAAAAAAAAAAAAGGTCCAAAGATAACATCTTAATGCTCTGAAAACAAAAAGCGCATTTAAGTTACAAGTAGACCACTTGATATAAATACGGTAGGCTGTTAGACAACTGAGTGACAAGGCCTTACCCACAAAAAGAATCCGTGGGACATACTGTCCATCAGGAGAGAGATGCTTGTCTGTGGTTTCATACTGCAGATGAGACAAAGTGGGAGCAGCATTATATGAAGACAATGGAGAAAGGTTAAGAAATCCTGACAATAAAACCTAAAACCTGACAAAACTGCTGCAGAGAAAGAACTTATCTGATTTGTGGTAAACTGCTGTGACCTACCACTAGATTGAGGACAATGAAATCCTCATCCAGAATCTTCTGGAGCTGGTCGTCCTCAGAGAACATCTTTTTCAGCGCTGCAGGAAAATATGTGGTTATGGCCCAGCGACCACAGGAATTGCACCAGGATGTGAGCTGGCTTCACATATGAGCGAACAATACCGTGTGCTCAAGGAGTTTGAGCCCTCATTTGAACAAAGCTATTTTATCTTTTTCTGCGTGGGTAAATGAACTCAGTCAGTAGCGGCTCCGCTTACCCTGGCTGTGTGGGCAGTCCTCCAGGTGAAACAGGACCACTAGAGGCTTGTTTCTGGGAAAAAATGAAAATAATTAATTCCCTGACTTAATCATAAACCTCAGATCATTTCCACCTTTCTCACCTTGACCTGGACCAAAAGAGAGCCTCCTCATAGGTCTGAGCCCAGATCAGCTGATCACCCCACCCTGCATGGAGACCATTCAAAAATCAGATATCCATTTCATCTTAACATCTACGACACACCTCCAGACGTGCCTCGGGCTGCCACACACCTCTGGACAGAGTCTGTGGAACCCTCTTGCCAGTTTTGGGGATGTATTTGGCAAAGGTTGAGGAAATGGCCATCAGGACCAAGAGCACAGAAAACACCGCCTTGATCATCGTTAAAGGGCAAACTGGAACAAACAGGAAAACGATTCACAGCCAACCTGTTTCTAGTCATGTGATCAAAAGAGCACAACTCTGCTAAGATGAGCAGACAATAAGACAAACACGTTAAAAAAAAAGAAAATCAATTAAAAACTATGAAATCCAAGACAGTCTACACTGGAAGTCAGATTTCTCTGGCGTTGTCACACTGAATGTTTGAAAACAGCATTTCCTTTTCTAGCCATGACACTCAGCTCACGTGTTTAACCCAGATTAAGCACTTTGACTCTTCAGGCAGGTCTAAAGTATTCAAGAGTGCCAAATCTGTGAAAACAAAGCAATGGCAGCCAGGCAGGACCAGCCTGAAGCTTACCTGCTCCTCACTGCTACGGTTGATGGATGGACTGCAGCTCCAGGATCTGCTGTGCCACGATCCTCAGCTGTGCCTTTTTTTAAAGCGGCTCCTACCTGAGAGGCAGTCCTTCGTCCCCCGCCCCCTTCCCTCCCACACATCCTGCCAGGAAAAAGTCCCCAGAAATGCCTTAGTGGCAGACATTTGTTTGCAAACCAAACTCCACCTGGAAAACGAACACTGAAGATTTCCGTGTGCATTCTCAAAGACATCCTGGTGTAAGATCTGGATCGGAAATGGTACTTGTTGGGAGTAACTCAACTATTCAAATATATAAATATAAGTTTTAGCAAGAACTATGATGAATGGGTGGACTGAAGTGGAATATGATTAATCATTTGAGTTGAATTTCCTTGTTGAATGTGGACTTAAAACCTAGTAGATTAAACTCAAATTTAGGTCAATTGTATGTACAAAATGTGTCAAAAATTCAGTCCAATTCAAGGGGCACGGTTATTGTACTACAGTTCTAATATCATTCATTTCCACTAATTAAATTCCAGATGAGTCCAATTCACAAAGTCAAATAAAACATTTTCTAACCAAGAACCCTCCATCAGAAACCACAACCTGATCAAACACAATTGGGCTGACAGAGAATGGACAAGTATCATGACACCAGGCCAAGGAAACCTGCTGTAGCTGTAGCTACAGCAGCTATATCTACAGCCAAAGCTGCAGGCCTGTTGAAGGAATCTGCTTTAACACCAAAAAACACCTGCGGGAAAGACACTGAACCCCAACATTTCCTACGAATAATCCAAACACAGGCTCTCTGCGAGTGGCTGTGGTGTAAAGGCATTTGAGAAGGTTGTTTATACAAGAAAATGGGTTCTTTGTACAGTCTATTTCTCATCAGGTGCATGGTTAGGCTAAAAGAGACTTTTCAGTCTCTGAATTAAAAGGACTTTTCTGGACTGCAAGATCATAAAAAAATAAATAAGAATGTTTGTCACAATGTGAGCACATGTCAATGGCACCTTTGTTCAGGTTTCTTGAAACTGATCTACCTCTTGGGACTCAATCGGGCCTTTGACTGTCCAAGCATCCCCCCAGCTGGCCCTGGCTTCTCTGCTTTACCACAACAATCCCTCTGAAATATGAAACACTTCTGGGGTCAGAGGCTTTACTGTATAAACCCTTTTTAATATTGGCTCCTCACCAGTCAACTCTGAGAAATTCTGGTGCTGTGTTTCACTGGTCAGTGTCCTCAGACCATCGCATTAGCCGAGCTATAAAGTAAGACTCTTTGTGAATTGGAATTATTTGAAATTTAATTCATCAGCCCAAATCAAGGGAGATCATCAATGATCTGGTGGGTCTTCCATTTAGTTACAGTTTCTCCTACAGTTGATTCCTTCACCCCTACCTGCTTGTTTATTGTAGATTCCCTCTTCCCAGCCTGGTGTCCTTGGACAGCTCTGTGATCTGGGCCATGGTTGACTGTTTGAGGCTGTGGACAACACAAATAACAAGGCCAAACAGGTGCCATCAATCGAGGTAAAGAGTGGAGGACAGAAGAGCTTCTTATAGGAGAAGCTACAGGTCTGTGAGAGACAGATGTCTCCCTTGTTTGTGGGTGACCAAATACGTAATTTCCACCATTATTTACCAATAGAGTCATTAACAATCCTACAAAGTAATTTTCTGTATTTACATTTCTCATTTTGCCTCACAATTGAAGTGTGCCTCTCATGAGAATTAGCCCTCTCATTTTTCTAAGTAGGAGAGAACTTACACAATCAGTAGCCGACCAAATGCGTTTCTGCCCCCCTGCAGCCCAGTGACAGTAATGGGAAAGATTCTGAAAATCTCTTCTCTAATAGAAACTATCTTGTCGATGAACAAACTCTTTATTCATCATGACTAATTATCATGACTGATATTTAAAGGAATAAATGGTTAAACTCCCATCTACTTGAATCCTCTTGCAAAGGCTTATGTCACAACTCGATCACTCCGGTCATCAGTGGACTGTGGTCTAGCAGAGCCTTCACCAGCTTAAGACCATCCAGACTGTCTGCATGTGTCGTTCCAAGATGGAGGAACCACATACCAAGCTACCAGAACAGCAGGTCCCTGTCTGTCTTCAAAAAACTCTTGAAGATCCACCTCTTCAAAGAGCATCTCTTGTCCTAATCCTAACCCGTACCTCTACCCCCACAACTCCTTCTGTAGTCCCTCTACCTCTATCTCTTGCTGTCACCACTGACTCTGATCAGTTTTTCTCCTCTATATAGCTTATTGTCATTGTGATGAGAAATGTAATATTGTGTCTACTCTGTAAGTCGCTTTGGATAAAAGCGTCTGCCAAATGCATAAACATAAACAGAGCTCTGACTCTGGGATCGTTCTTATCGTCCTCTGTCAGAGAGGAACACTGAGCAGTTCCAGCTTTATTATAGGCTTTCTTATACATTATTGAACTATCTATCCTGCTTGGGAGTGGAACGTGGAGGGGACCCCGATGTAAATATGGGACGCAAGAAACTGAGAAATATCTACAATCTATTATGGAAAGTAAACAAAAACTCTGGCTGGGTCAGATTACAAGAAAAGCACAGTATAGGTATAAAGGTACTCTAGGTGTAATGTGTGTGTACTGTCTTTGTCTAACTGTCTATGTTCATACCTAAAGTCTATGTCTATGTCTGCATGGAAAACTAAGAAACGGAATTTCAATTCTTTGTATGACCAGTGCATGTAAAGAAATTGACAATAAAGCCCACTTGACTTGACTTGAGGGAGCCAGAAACAAGAAGCCAAAGGAACACTGGACCAACGAGGACCAAATGACACAGGATGATTCACATAGATGGGTCTTCATCAAACCCCCGCCGAGTTTAGAGCTGAAGAGCTGTCCCACTTATCTGAACCAGCTGTGCGGGAGCAGGGACACTTGGAAAACACGCAGGACTGTGTGCCTTGAGGACCGGAGCTGAGACAGTTGGCTATACAACAGCTTTTTCCCTGTTGCCATTAGACTTCTAAATTATTGAATCCTGTTCTTGTCTAAAGCTGTATGCAAATGAAATTTTGTTTTGTGTGCACTCCGTAGACACAAAATGACAGTAAAGTTGTCTATGTCTATGTCTATGTCTATGTGACATGGAGCTTAAGTGAGGGGAGTGGGAGCTCATCACCACAAGGGAAGAGTCATGGCAAAACCACAGACGAAGGGAACAGGATACTGAAAAGGCTTTCAAATAAAAAGAGCAAACAAAAAGCAAACAGAACTGGAAGAGACGTGGAAACAAGAGCTGAAATAATAATCAAGGGGCATGAAATTCTCTAAGAAAAATAAGAAACTTACCAGTGCAGAACCAAAGACACATTGATACAAAAAGAACTCAAACAGCAAAAGTCTAAAAAAGAGCCTCAATGACACAATCTTTCCAGACTAATTGAGATAGTTTTTTTTTTCATATTCATTCCAGCTTTCTTTTGGCCTGCTTTAAAACACACAGCTGTGAATTACACCCAGCCTCTTCTTATTTTTTATTTTTTTTAAGATTTTGTTGGCTCTAGTGGCCTTTAATGATAGTAGCTGGACAGGAAAGGGGGGGATATAGAGAGGGGGAGACCTGCGGGAAAGGGCCGTGGGCCGGATTCGAACCCAGGCCGCCCGCTTATGAGCAGAGGCTCCGTATATGGCCCTGGCCAGCCTCTTCTGGTGGCAGCATTGTCCAGAGCTGCACACCGTGCTGTGGTCAGCCAGGTTGTGCAGAGGGAACCTTTAGGAAGCCCAGCAGAGAACCAAATGACAATGGAAGGAACCATTGAAATGTGCTTACAGCATTCTCTGATAAGTAAGATACTGCCAGCAGATTACAATGTGCGAAGAGGAAAGAGAGGAGCTCCCGCAGAGGGGGGACAGGTGCATCATGGGAGCCCCCCAGCAGCTCTGGGGTGTTTCAGGGCCCCTGAGCATCTGGAACTACCAGCTTCCAGTCATGGTTCAGGTATTTGTTTCTTGCCATCATGTGAATGTTGACTCCCTCTCAGGATTTGTAGCATTTTTCTGATTGGATTTGGACTGCTTCAAGAAGGTGTTGAGGTTCTGGGATGTGGGACTGGGCTGTGGCAGAAAAACAGAGTGGCCATCTGTGTGCATCCCTCTAATACCACTGACTCCTGGTAAGGTCACAATGGAGCCAATCCCAACCATGCGGGCAGCACCCTGGACCGGCCAGTCCACCGGAGCCAGAGAGATGATGGACTACCACGTGCACACCGACTGTGCTCAGTTCAAAGCTCCCCGATTACCCGGCATGCTGGTTCTGGGTGAGAAGAAGCTGGTGAACGGTGCAAAGAATTAAACAAACATGTTTTCACGGTTGCTCGCTACCAGGATGTGGAAGAAGTTGAACTATGTGGTGTTCTTATTTGCACTTCGCTGCTGTGCACACGTCACTCTTTAACTGTGGTCAATATTTGCTGGTCCGGGCTGGGTGAGCAGCACTCCCACTAACGTCCGTCCACCAGCTGCACTCCGCCCGCCCCGCCCCGCCTGCCAACCCGGATCTAGAGCCCTGTCACTCACCGCTCGCTTCAGGGGATGACAACTCCCACCACTTTCAGATTTTGGCTGCCTTCCAAAAAAATATGCTGTTAAAGCAAACCCAGGCTCATTTGAGGTGCTCTTAAGGAGAACCTCTAAGGGGATTAGTAGTTCTTAAATATGTAGAGCTTCTCCTTTATGGGTCTTTCTCTCCGGTCCTCTCAACCCCGCCACATCGGGCCAGATGTCCTGACTCCTGGTTCAGGTGGACGTTTCATCCCACACTTGCCCGGTGCCAGCTCAGAAATGGGGATTGTTACTTGCTTAACTTGGAAACGTTTTTGTGTGGTCTTTGCTAAATTGCGCATGTTCAGAGAAAACACTGCTGCTCTGTATTTGGACATTTATTGAATACACTGTGTACAAAAGAATTCAACTGAAAGTATGCATGAATGTGTGTTCTGTTTTCATACAGACACTGTATACTGACACAAAATGAACCATTTAAAGAGGTTCCAAGTTCAAAACTATTTTTTAAAAAAACAGAAAAAAACCCAGAAGGTGGAGGGAGCAACGAGA